TGACACAGGCTGGTTGGCTTAAACAGTATTTATTTCTCATAGTTAAGGAGGGTAGAAGTCCATGATCAAGTTGCTCACTAATTGAGTCTCTGGTGAGTACTCTCTTCCTCCTTACCAATCTGCAGACTGTTACCTTTTTGCCTTCTGGCTGTGCCCTGCCTGATCTTTCCTCTGCACACATATAGTAAGCACCAGAGTCTCTCCCGCCTTTAAAAGGTACAGACCTTCCTCAGCAGTGTATTTCAGTAGATCTGCCTGTTCTGCTCCCCACTCTGTCTCACCTCTCTGTACCTCTGGCCTATACCCCAGCTCTTGTATACATAAATAAATAAATCTTTTTTTTTTTTTTTAAAAGGTACAGACCTTCGGCCTCATAAAGGTGACCTCATTTAAGCTTAATTACTTCCTTGAGGTCCCATTTCTATATAGCCATACTGGGGATCTTTTGGCAGAGATGCAAACTTTCACTCTATAATACATATTCTTAAAGGCGGTCCCCTCTTTTTGCGGCTTGCAGAGACTCAAGGAGTTCAGGCTTTTGTAAAATAAAACAGGGAACTTTGACTTATGAATAGATTAATAAAATTTGTCAGCTGAAATCAAAGCTTCAAGAAGAATTTGATGGAAATAGTTATAATCTTACTAAATTGAATGCTTATTGAAGCAATGTACTTCGAAATAATTTTTTTGGCACGAGAAAGTCACCTTTTGTGGGAACATAAAAAAGTGGACGTTGACATGGATATATGTGTAGGAGAAAACATGGGAATTCATTATTAACAGTGATAGTCATTGCTACAGTTACTGACCACCACGCCGTATACACATATGATCTTAAATCCTGGCCCTGTGATGTGTTCTCAGTTGCTATTTCCCTTTATCAGATGAGACCCCCAAGTAACTGAGCTAACCAGGTCCTGTGACTTCATGCAGTGCATTTTCCTGGGTTGAAGGGATGATTTCAATTTTATAGTTTTCTACATGAATTGTTTACAATGAACTTTTTTTTTAAGATCACAAAAATTATTTCCATCTTGAAAAATAATAATGAATGTTTATAGAAATTGAGAGTGAAACAGAAGAAATCACCAGCTCTGTTTGACAGTATTTATGGTGCCCAACCAATTCTATAGATTCTAGTCCGGAAGGCAGATTGGGAGTGTGATAAGGATTAAATAACATCTTATTTTATTTGCATTTTGCTGGTGATTATAATGTACACACACTCTTAACAATAATGGTGAAATATTATCTGGTCATAAAAGGAGGAAATCAGGCTGTTTGTGACAACATGGATGACCCTGAGGGCATCATGCTAAGTGAAATTAGTTAAACAGAGAAAGACAAAAAGTTCATGATCTCACTTATATGTGGAATTAAAAAGAAACAAAACCCACCAAGCTAAAGAAATACAAAACCCACCAAACTTCATTCAGATTCATGGTTACCAGAGGGCGTGTACTAAGTAAGTAGAAAGGAAAAGGAAATGGATCAATTTAAAACTTGTTTAACATATCAGAGGGTTAAATTAATATTGGATTAAGTGTTCAAATTTAGACACCCCCACCCCCACCACCATGCCCTGTCAGGGGGGATTTGGAATTTTACGTGTTAGATCACCTCTTGGTGACCAGTCAACACCATATTTTCTGCACCATATGTGCAATAATTTGGCTATTTTACCACATCTGAAAACTCTTATTATTATAAAAACAAGAGGGAAATAAAGAAATCTATAATACAAAGCATAGGTGTTAGACCTATAGTGCCGAGATAAGATAAAATCCTGAGCTTTGCCTAAGGTGCTGAATGTTTCTTTCAATCAGATACTTTTTGGAATCCAGCCAATTGAATCTGTGTTGTATTGTGAAGGCAGATAATATATTTAAAGATCACATGTGAAGCAGTGGAAATATATCACAGATGATTATGTCTAAAAGGCAAGGTGTTTAAAGGAAGGATTGTATATGTTAGCTCTCCAGAATAGAAACCCCATATAACACATAATTTTTTGCACAATATATGTCAGTATACATTTCCAGAAATTATATGCGAAGACAGGAACTGGAAATATAGGGAGGAGAGAGTGACAAGGTTTTTGTTGTGGTTTTTTTTTTTTTTAAATGCATGCAGTCTCCAAGTCATACAACCTTAGGGTGCAGGTGAGACAGATGAATAAGTGTTATTTATACCCAAGCCATACACACTGGTGGTTGCAGCAGTGAAACAGATACTTTTTCAATAATTTTTTTCCATATATATTTATTGGACTCCTTCTCTGTCCTATGCAATGGGAACCTAATGATAAATGAAACTAATGAATTTCTCTTTGAATGTAACATGCTACAGACATCCCCATATCTGTGTTATCAGAGCCGTAGTTGGGGCATTTATGAATGACTTTGTAGCTGAAGTTTGAATGATGAGCAGGAGGTAAATAAACAAAGGTTCTAGAAATAGCATTCCAAGTGGAGGGAACATATTGTCCAAAGGTCCTGTGGTGGGGTTATCGTGGTGCGTACAAGAGACTGGGGTGGCAAGGGATTGGGCCAACATGGAGCAGGGTGGAGAGTTAAGAGTTGGCCTTTGGTCAGAGAGTAGCGGATGCCATGGGGATGTTTTAAACAGCTGGTGGTGGGGTGATCCTATTTGATTATATCATCATATTTGTGTTTGAAAGTCTAGGTCTGCTCACAGCGTAATGGATTGGATGGACTGGGTGGAAGTCCATGGAACATTTACAAAACCTTTGCTAACATCCAGACATCCAGGTGTAAGCCATGAGTCCAGGCTTTGCTGGGCCTCCTTAAACTTCCCCTCTGTTGCCCAGGTATTAGATGGGTACGCGTTTGGCTCTTTGGGGTTGGGGAGAAGACCTGGAAGTTTCTAAGCACAGTGAATTGTTAGCCCTGCCCTTCCGTCTTTCCATGGTACCTGAGGCCTCAGACTCCCAATCCATTAGCCCTGGGGTACATCATCCTATTTCACTGGTCCCCCATCTGCAGGCACTCAGCTTTCCCATCTTGCCCCTCTCCTAAGCCAAATGCTGCTCTCCTAGTGGTTTTTCACCATCCCCAAATTTCCTACCCACCATCTTGATTTATCTTGTGACTTTACCTATCTGTTCCTTCAATAATTTCCATTACTGTTATTTTAGTAGGGTTTCAGGAAGCAGCAGAGAAAGGAACCCCAAAACGTGTTTTTCATCTGCTGCTTTTAATCCTAGGTCGAATGGCCTTTTCTAACACTGTTCTCTTTGGGCTGAGGTAAAAAAACAAAACAAAACCAACAACACAATGGGTTCCCTGAGAGCACTCAAAGAGCTGTAGTGGGAGGCTTATGGGGCAGCCCCAGCATGACTGAGGCCCACACAGGGACTGAGGCCCACACAGGGGAACCCCACCTAAGGCGGGCGCGTGGCATTTTTAAGTGCGTCCACACGCTGACGCACCTCTGACTAGGATGCAGACGTACTCGCGCAGGCTTCTCTCTCCTGGGTCTGGCACAGTCACCATCTGCTTAAGCATGATCATCACCTGGTGACGGTTGGGATGCTGCCAGGAAACAGAGGCTTTTGTGTTACTTCATTTCGTCTTACAGTCAGCGTCTGGGTCACCTTTGTGATGTAATAAAATGACATAAGCATGATGCTGCTCACCTGCATTTTTGTGGATCCTTTTCCAAAGCAGTTCCACAAACAGCTGGTCTGGGGGGCAGCCCAGGACATTGGGGCCCAGGACATTGGGGTGAGGCTATCAGCGGGAGGGGGAGACCTGGTGATGGGGACAAAAGAGATGAGGTTTGGGAGCTTAGAGGTCAAGGATGCCAGAGTGACTGTATACAGATGAGGCCAGTGGAAAGCCCCAGGGTGGTGTCCACTAGGCGGTGTCCTAGTGGGCAGCGATACTAGGCTACCTGGCAAACTTCCAGGTTACCTTTGTGACATAACAAAATGCCTAGTCACCCCAGAGGATGGACTTTTGCTCTTGCTCCTGAATAACTGAAATTACAAATAGAAATCTTTGCATCCCAAGGAGGCTACTATATAGGGACGATGCTGCTCACCTGCATTTTTTCCAAAGCAGTTCCGCCAACAGCTGGCCTGGGGGCAGCCCTATGAAGCTGGGGACACAGCTCGTCACTGTCATGTGCAGGAGCAGGTGCAGGAACAGAAGTGGTGAGGGATGATCAGTTTGTGTTTGTGTTTAGCCAGACCCTGCCCCCCCCCCCCCCCCCCCCCCCGCCACTTGAAGAGCTTCAAGGTGTCAGACACAAGTCTCTCCCTGGGGAGGATGAGCGGGGTGGTCTTTCTTTGCCCTGGATGTGGTAGACGTCACCTTGCATGCAGGACTTTGGGCCCCAAATCTCACCTACTTCCCAGTTGAAAGCAGTTATGTGTAATACTGTGTGGGACAGGCCACGGGGGCAGAAAGTCAGCGAGACTGTCATCCTGGCAGGAGTGGCTCTGGACCATGGTGGGCTGCACTGCGCCTGGAAGGCTGGTGGGCCCTGGAGTGTGGGAGGAGGAGCAGGGGCGTTCTGGTGGGTGGGTGAGGGAGGAGCCGGGCGTGGCGGGAGACATGCCTGCAATGCTGAGGTCAGCACCAGGCCCCAGGATCCAGGTGGACAGTGCAGGGTGTGAGAGGAAGGGAATACATTGGGTGGACTGTTGAGGTGTCACATTGCACGGCCTGGGAGTCAAGTACATCACTTGGACTTGATTCCTGGGGGACCAAGGGCTAGAGACAGATGTGGAGTTAATGACAGCAGCATATAAAGCCTCGGCAGGAGTAGCTTCAGGGGGCACATGCTCAAAGGCCACAGTGGGGAGGCACAGTTTGAGCACACCAGAGAACCAGAAATAAGGTTGGGGGACACTATGCAAATGCCTGGGAGCTGAGGAGAAACCAGGTGTTTCCTGGGTTTCTTGGTTCAGTTCCTCAGGCCTCACCCTCTGACCACTAACTCCACTTCCTTTTGTTCTGCTTTCTCCCTGGCAGGGTGAAGGCTGGCGCAGTGGTCAAGCGAGGACACACACGCATACATCGCTGGTGGTGGCTGGACAGAGAGGGCCGGACCCTCCACCTCAGGAGACAAGATCTGGTTTTATGCCTCTCCGATGGCCTCCCCAGAGCCCTTCCCAAACTGGGAAGAGCTGAGACAGGACCTGCTGGCATTAAAGATGGGGCCCAGGACGTTGGGGTGAGGTTGTCAGCGGGAGGGGGAGATCTGGTGATGGGGGGAAAAGAGATGAGGTTTGGGAGCTCAGAGGTCAAGGAGGCCAGAGGGCGCGTGGCTGTGCTGTGGACCCACCCAGGAGAGGGTGTCTGTGGGAGATTAACAAATAAATATGGCAGAGTCTTGGAGGCTGTGCGTTTTGCTGCATGAAAATGTCAACGGCTGAGTGAGGCAGATGAGTCAACAGTCATGACAAAAGCAGGTGGGTATCTAGGAAGCAGGGCACCCGCCAGCTCCCCAGGCACCACCCACAGATCAACAAAAAGAGGGTTTCACTACCCTCTGCAGTCACCCCACCCTGGCCCGGGATGTTCCCTAAGAAGGTGAGCCCTGTAAGCTGGGGTCTAGGAGGTATCCACCTCTTCTATGTACATGACTGCCTGCCCAGGCCAAGGTCAGAGTCCTGTTTCCTGCGACTCTGCCAGGGCTCAGGAGACGCTGTGCAGGTTCTCCTGGGAGCAAAAGGACTTCTTTCTCTAACCCACACTGCTCTCCTGCAGCTGGCACGCATTCACTCCTGTTAACAGGGGAGGGAGAACACGCTCACTTCTGGGAAATGTGCCCTGCCCACTTCCACTTCCTTCTCTCTCCCCATCCTTCTGGGAAGCTCTGGAAGGGAGAAAAACCCTCTAGGGACTGCTCCTCTGAGACTCTTCCTGCCGAGGCCAAAACATATGGGGATGATTTTCTTGCTCTGCATTTTCTTCCTGATCAGGTGATCCTGAGGTTACTGTCTGCTTTGATGCCCGGACCCTCCCAGGTATGTTTTGAATTCCCCAGGATTTTTTTTTAAACCATATTACAGAAGTCTCTCAGCCTCAGGAACCATTCCTTAGCCAGGTACCCACCCCATTCACGTCTAGCAGGACATGAATTGTCATACGTGAAATGTGTGGTGAGCGAGTGAGTTCAAGAGTGAATGACTGGTTCACCTGAATGCTGAAACGCTTATATACAAATCATCAAGAATTTACACACTGCATATGACAAGTGAATGTGGTTGTCAAACAACCCTGTACCACGCACATGTGTGCACACACGAACACCTATACCCTTTTCTCTCCCAGCTTCTCTTCTTATTAAAAAAGCCCAGTAGTTCTGGCATCTTCTTAGATGCCATCTCCTGAGAGAGCTTCTATTTCCCAAGCGATGTCAAGCATTCGTTTGTTCCTGCATTCAACAACTGTGACATTGAGCTTCCCCATGTGCTCGGCCAAGAATGAATAAAGCCAAGAACCCAAGCCCACCCTTGTGAAGGTTCTGATGGAATAAGGCAAGCAATTGATACAGTAAATAACTAAAATATATTGTATGCCAGTAAAGTGTAAATGCAATAGAGGAAAATCAAGAAAGGAGGCTGCAGAATATGGCAGGCATGGGGGGTTTGGGGTGAACTTAAAAGAGAGGAGGCAGGGGAAGACTGATTTAGAAGGTAATGCTTGTGTGAAGAGCAGAAGAGGTCAAAGAGTGAGCCATGTGGATACTGGGGGGAAACATTCGAGGCAGAGGGAACAGTAAGTGCAAAGGTCCTGGGGTGGGAGCATTGCCGCCATATTCTAGGAACTAGGAGGCCAGGGTGACTGGAGGGCAGTGAGCACGCAGGAAAGGACAGGGGATGATGCCCAAGTAGCTGGGAAGTGGAGGGTGGTGGCTGCTTAGCCAGGGCCCTACTGGTGCCTGAAAGTCCTTTGCTGGTTTCCTGAGTTGGTGGGGAGGCCATTCCTCCAGGGTTCTGGGCAGATAAGTGATATGACGGGACTTCAGTTTTAACAAGATTAACAGTTAGACTGTTTGAATAATCTAGGTGAGAGCAGATGGTGGTTTGGGCCAAGCTGTCAACAGTGGGATGGTGAGCAGTGGACAGATTCTGGTTAATTTTGAAGAGAGAGTCAGCAGGAGGGGTGGGGTGTGGGTATGACAGGAGTGAAGGCAAGGGTTCCTCTAAGCCAATGAGTTGGAGGGGCATGTGGAGGAAAGGAAAAGCTGGGAGGCATGACAACAGAGACCCTGTGCCCTCCCTCCCAGAAACTGGTCTGTGGGATGCACCTCACTTAGCTAAGCAGGACTTGCCGCCAGCTCAGCTACTCCCCTGTTCAGGCAGCCCCAGCCCCACTCCCGCTTTGGAGGAAGCCAGTGGAGAGTGACAGCTCTTGTCCTCCTGCCTGCTGTCGTCCTGACCCTCCACCCCCACTCCGTCTAGGACGGGCTACATCTGAGTTTCTGTGATTCATCCCCAGTCTCACACTCTTCTCCCTCTGCACCACATCCACCCCCTGATATATTCCCTCTGCAAGTTCCTCACCTCCCCCCTCAAGTTAGAGCAGAGCAAGTCTGCTGCTCAGCCCCGTGGCAGATACAGAGCAAAGTGCCCAGAGAGCTCTGTAGGACCCTCTGACCAGGCCCTGCAGGCCAAGTCCACGGCGACAGTGCAGTGAAGAGAAGGCACCACGAGGATTCCCTTTCCACGCAGCCCACGCCTAGGAGCTACGACTGGTCCTCACTTCCCAGCTGGGAAATGATAGGGGCGGTTTTGTCACATCCCAAGGGAAGCCAAATGAGATTGGGAAGCAAAGGCCCAGAGACTCTGGGCTGGGGACAACGGGAAGGAAAAGGTGGGGGCGTGGAATGCACCAGCAGAGCCCAGAAGCAGTCTGGGAAAAGAAATGCCAGGGAGAGGGTGAACATTGCTCTATCATGGCTCCTGGGGAGGGGCTCCGGGGGTGGCAAAAGGATGGCAGCCCTTTGGGCTAGGAGCAGGAGACCTGCGGTCACAGATTGTCCTGAGCGCATCCCTGCTGTCAGCCCCGGGAAGCCCCATTCCTGGAGTGACCAGTGTCACTGAAGGGGAGCAGAGTCAATGGGCCAAGCCACTCTAGGCTGCCATTGCTGGTGTCAGAGTCTGCCTTTTGAGCTCGTTTGGGCTGACTGATGGCCAGGGAGCTCGCTGGGCACTGAAGGGGAGTGTCTGGGTGCTGTTCATCTACTCCAGCTGGCAGCCACACTGGGTGGCATGGAAAGAACTTGGGGCAGAGCCTGGACCGCTGGGGCCAGGGTGGCCCAGCCACTAAACGCGCTGTGTGAGGCATGTCTAGTCTCTGCATGTCTTTATTCCCTGGTCCTCTGTCTCACTGGGAAACGGAGAATTGGAAGAAATGCTCTCCAGTGTCTGTGCCCACTTAGTAATTCTGAAATTTTAAACTGCCTCACATGGGTAATGGAGGCAAACAGATTTCCTGGTACATGACAGAAAAGGAAAGCCCTCTTCTCTTGCCTAGGGAATCTGTGTCAATTCCATCCTTAAAATAACCAGGTGACTTTAGCTCTAGGGCCTGGGTGGCAGATTTAGGGATGACCTTTGGTCTAAGTTTGCTGTGGTGATTTAGGGAGTTAATATAGAAGTGGAGAGCCTAGAAATGTGTCCGGCCCAGGGGAGCAGTGTGCTAACCATCACTATTATGACATGGGTCACCTAGACGCTCTTTGCTTATGAAGGAGGTGTGGGGTCTCCTGTCTCATTCACCAGGCGCCGTGCTCAAGCCCTCAGACCTGAGCTCTGTTCCAAGTCTTTGGCTCTGAAGGCCACAGAGGAGGGCCCTTATCAGCTCATTCTCTGCATGCAGAGCCAACTTGGCCCTGGATGGAGTGGGAATGATGGGATGAGGCGCTCTGGACAGCGGTTATGAGGGCACAGCCTGGACTGCTGGGCTCTTTTCCGAGTGGGAGGATATGAGCAATTCTGTGGCTTCCTCCTGACTGAGCAACAGACTTTGAGCTGATTTGGGAACATCTCCGGGATGGACACCAGCTGGCTTGCACACCCCCCCAACATATGGAGCACAGCATGCCCCAGAGAGGTGAAAGGGGTTTGTCTACAGCGTGGGAGTGACCGGAACAGGGTCCTAGGTAGAAGGTAAATCCATTCCTGGCTCTTGGGCTCTGGCCAGTGGCTGACACTGAATCCCACAGCAGAGATCAGGAGGTCCTGTTTCAGCAGCCACAGCCTCCTGTGCTGGAGGCTGTAAACAGAACAAAAGAACAACCTCCCCAAAGCATCTTTGGGCCGTTTTTGAGTCTCCCAGCAGGTGCTTTCTACCGGATTCAGGGCCACTGTCCATTCCCTACAACTCCACTAGAGGGAGCCACCACCACTTGTATTTACCGGACTCAGTGCCCGCAGAGCTGCCTATTGGTGGGGGCGGCCCTGGCACTATCTGGTTGAACAGATCTTGAAGCAGCACTGAGGCTGTTCCACCACGCCCTTGCACGGCCAGCCAACCCTACTGTGTGGATCCATTTAGGGCTGAGAGTCCACGCTGCCTTTCCTCTGGGGCCCCGGGGCTCCCTTCCGCTGAAGGCCTGATGTGACTGGAGGTTGCTCAGAATGGGCGGTGATGATCTGCCACCCACATTCTTGCACAAGGAAGTGCTGTGTGCAGCAGCAAACATGGCTTCTCAGAGATCCTGGACAGCTGTGTGGGGGGGGGGTGGGGTGGGGGGGTGCTGAAGCTACCTGTGTCGTCAAGTGGGCAATTTGAAGTACTCTGGTCTTTGAGGTGTCCCCAACCTTCTGGAAGAGGTAAAGAGTAAGGTAGTAGGAAACTGCCCTGCAAACTCCGCACAGAGGCCTGCCATCCTGGGGACTTTGCCCAATTTATTCTCTATGGAGGGAAAATATCTGTAGGAACTAGGAGAGGACACAGCAAAGGGATCAGGTATCTTTGGAAAAATGATTTTCCAGTCAAATACCACTAGGTTACAGATTTTTTCCAGAATCTCACCAGGCTAAGAATTATGTGGAACTCCTGCCTGATAATGAGGCTTGGCGTTAGAAGAGGATAGACGGGCAGGCGACCTTGGACACACTCATCTCCTCCAGGGTAAGTGTTCCAATCTGAACCTCAGTTTCCTCCTCTGTCCAGCAGGGAGTAGATTTCCATGATCCCCAAGATTCCCTGCAAAGAACCATGGTGTGTTCTTTGTCCTGCACGATGGATGGCTCACTCAGCAGCTGCCTGCTTTCTGCAGTCTGAATCTTGTTCAAAATTTCACTCCCCCAACATCTTTAAAAAAATCTGTAAAAACAAAAATAGATTGACCTCTTAGAAGCAGTCAGTGCATCAAAATGAGTCTGAAGCCTTCTGTGCTTAACAGTGTCGACAGTAATTGATGCATTTCACAGAAATAGGCTGGAGAAATCCAAAAGCAGGGCCAAGGTTGACATTTTCTATGTCAGCATTCACTTGCCTACTGTCCACTTAATTTTTCTGTCCTGCTGACTTCTGACAGGGTAGTGCCCACTCCTGGGTAGTGCCTCACACCATGGGGACAGTGTCCTCGCTACTCTCAATTTTCAAGCTCTGCTTAGTCTCTCAAAGATGCTTCCAGTGACCCAGACGCCATAATAAGCTGGGTTTTGAAGAAAAATAAAACTAATGACATTGGGTGAGGAAGGAGGTGTTGCTTAAGAGGCAAACCTGGAAGTGGGCATTCCTTATTCCCATGATTAGGTTATTTCAACCAATACATTATCCACGGGAATAAGGAAGAAATACATTTCCTTTTTCTTTTGATCCAATACCTTAATAGTCAAGAAAACTTTCTGAAAATTAATAGGCACAAAATGCCAGTGCCTGCTTAGTCCAAGCCAGTCCTGCTCTGTCTCCATCGTGAATCAGAATAATCTGGAAAATTTATTAAAATACCTATTCCTGGCTCCAGCCCCCCAGACTTACTGACTCAGAAGGTCTGAGAAGAAGGAACCCCAATTTGCATTTCTATCCAGTTCCCAGGTAGGCTGATGCTGTGGGTTGGGGGTGGGGGGGTCAGAGAACCCCCCCTGGAAGCAGCAGAGACCTAGAACATGATGATTACCCAGGTTGCCTCCTGCATCAGTGCAGCATGCACCAGGGAAATAATAACCTTGGGGTTTTTTAGCTCATAGGGAGCAGCTGATGCGATAGGTGCATGCGTAGCTAAATCTCCAAGGAAACAAGGATGGTCCCTTCTCCCACTGTTAGTTAATGAGAGTGTGGTTGTAACTAAACTATTCACTAATTACCCAGTTTGCAGGAGGCATCCCAGCTTAATGCTGTGAGCTTCTGGCCACTAGGGGGAGCCAGGACTATGTCTTCACAGGCCTGAGGATCTGGAGGGGAAAAATACCGGGGAGTGAGCAAAGGCTGTCAGAAAATGCTGCAACACTCCGTGCCCAGCCACAGCACACGCTGCAATCCCGATGTTCAAAGACACCGTGGAGAATGCGGGTTTGGCGAGGAGGGGGGATCAGTGGTTTTTCAAGTTGTTGGTTTTCCTCCCGTTTTCTCCAAGTGCATTCCTGTTAACCCCATGATGCGAGAGATGATGGTGGCTTGTCGCCCACCACGGCAAGCTCCGGCGTTCTATTTTGTAGATGCTGCAAGAGGAGAAGAGAGAGACAGGAAGCTGTGCAAGGTGACAGGAAGGGAGCACTGGGCTGGATCGGCCCAGATGTGTCCTGCCAGGTGTGTAGGTGAGGGGGCACATGCCTGGGGACAGGATGGCCGGCTCTGAAGCCTATCGTGACCCAATGTCCTGTTATTGATCAGTCTGCCTTCCCTTGGGGTGGGGAAGGTGGAAGAATTCTTTGGGAAGGAAAAGACTAAGGTTAAGAAGGCAAATAACCAAGGGGGTATTTTACCTGCTTGCACTGTGCAAAGTATGGTCCGGCTCCTCTTCCCATCTTTCATGGACACTCCCTGGGGGACATGCCCGTTCTGATTGCTCCTGGCAGGCAGTGGTCAGGCGCAGTGCCCACTGGCTGGGAACCCCCCACTTAGCATTTCATGGCATCTCTGTCCTTCCCCACTCAGAGCCCTCTTTTCCCTATGAGGATGTCCTTGGAAATAGCTCAGTCTCCCACACGTTCTTTGGAAGGACTCTGCATTTCACTCACTGCTCTTCCCTGTCTTGACAGGAAAGTGACCAGCTAGTGGTTTTGGAGAAAAGACACGAGTCCAGGGAACATGGGGGACATGTGTGATCACTGTGGGTGAGATGTGCCCTTTGAACCCTAATACCTTTGAGGGACACATTTCTCTGGCGTGTCTATGTGTATCGGGGTGACTTTATGTGCCTGTGAGTGCACAACCTCGATGGCAAATAATGGTAACAAAACATCAGCTGTAAAAATTTAGTTTGGGGACTTGGGGCGTTATTTCCTGGATTCACCCATACCCTTCTTAGGGGTTTCTCCCCCCTCACCCCCGATCATCTTCTATTTAGGGTGTTAACATTCTCCTGTCCTCGTGACCAACACAAGCACATCCCTGGTTTAGATCTGTACCGCTAAAGGGAGGAAGCCTTGCTTTGGAGGTCACAGCCTGGGTTTCCCACAGCTCACTAAGACAGCTTTGCCCCGGGGCAAAGAAGTAGCCTCCTTTTATAGAGAGACAAGAAAAAGTGCGTGTGTGAGGGTGTGTGTGTGTGTGTGTGTGTAGTTTAGATTCTAGAAGCTCCCACCACAAACCTACGTCTTAAAATGTTTTCAGTAAGCCAAACCATTTCTCCTTGCCGCTGTTTCTAGACCCTTCTCCTCACTGCCAGTTGCAGAAAGGCTTGTAAATGAAAAACCCTGAGGTTCCCCTTCCTCTGCCTTTGTGCTCTGGATATAAATTCTGACTTTCCTAGTGATGACTTCTGAAGTGCCCCGTGTCCCTCGCTGAGCGCCAACGCAGTGGCTCTTCCAGATGAACACCTGCACTTCCCGCCCCATGGCAGCTGTTTGGATGGTGGGTTTTTTTTTAGCTTCAGGTTCTAGCCTGACAACTCCCCTGAGTTCTTTGGGGACCCTGCAGGGCCTGTCCCCAGCCCCTCTGCATCCCTCTGCACCATTTCCATGGCCATCTCGGGTCCCTGCAGCTCCAGGGAAGGCATCGGAGGACCAGGAGGCAGAGACCCGCAAGCAGAGATGGCTGGAGGTGGCGGTTCTGATGGTCCTCTGTCCTTGAAGAACCCCATCCTCCCTGCCCCCCCAGCCTCCCCTGGTGTTCCAACTGACCCGGAACATGAGCGGCAGGAAAGTCACTGCTCCAATTGAATTTTGCTGCAGTTTCTTTTTTTTTCCCCTAGATGCTGAGAGCTATTTTTAGCCAGGGATTTTTTATTTATTTATTTTTTTTTTGCAGGGGATCCACAGTCTATTTTTAAAGCCCTTACGGAGGCCAAATCACCCAGCATTCCTCATAGGGACTTAGGGGTTCAGTGGTGGGGGGAGGTTTGGGGGCTTCCTGAATAGGAGAGAGTGGTCAGGAAGGACCTAAGGAAGGTTGGCAGAAGCCAGATATCAGGCAAGGGCAGAGCTGGCTGCTGCTTGTGCTGGGAGCATGTGATGGCACCCCACTCTCCCCCCATTTGGCCAGGGTTGCGGGGCGAGAACACCCCGACTTGTCAGGGCAGCAACTGTGATGACATTGTCTTCAAATGTGGTAATGGTTTATTTTATGCTGTTCTCCTTCCCTTCTCCTGACTTTGTACTCTCAGATCTCTCCCACCTCCCCTTGCAAGGCACCATCTTTTAGAGGTAAACTGAGGCACAGAAGGTTTTGGACAACAGGGCGGGAGAAGGCCACGGGTGAGAAGGGCTGATGTCCCTGTCCATGAGAGCATGGCCAGGGATAGATGGGATTCTGGTTGGGGGGACGGAGAGGGCAGCTAAGAGGGATGTGGTTAGAGAGGAGAAAAAGAGGGCATAGAGAGAAGGGACACTTCTGGGAAAGTTCCAGAGTAACCTCAGAGGGACTTGAGCAGAGATGCTAATAGAGTGGGGGCCATGGCATCTTTCAGAGTCCTCCCTACCCATCTCGCCCCCCCAGTCCCACTCCTGGCTCTTAACTTTCCACTCCAAGCCTGTGAAGCTCCCTGTGTGTCGGGGGGTGGGGGGAAGTGAGTCCATATACCTGGATGGAGTAGGTGAAGGGGACTAAAGTGGAAAATTCCAGAAAGACAAGATGAAAATGCTTCTAAACTAAACCAGAAGCTTCCGTTATCTCTGTTCTCCATGCCCAGGAATGGACAGAGGGTGTCCTCACAGAGGGTGTCCCTTCTCCTTCCCAGTAGAACTTAGTTCAGAGGGTCAGGGTCTGCTGCTGCCTTGTAAATGGCCCAGCTTCTTGGTGCTGACTTGTCCCCCTCCTCCCTGCCTTCTCCAGCAGGACCAAGGCGTGAGGAGGAAGGAGGCAGAGATGAAGGAGCCTCTATTTAATCCCAACTCCTCAGCAGGCAATTGTACAACCTGGCCTTGGAACAAGTTCAGGTCAGGGATTCTGCTGGGTGATCCACTGGCGGTCAGTAGGACCCCTGAGTAAGCCCCTGCTCCCCGAACAGGAGCTGAGACCTAGCCCAGCTCTCCCAGCAGTGCACAGTCCTGATCGGCCTGGCCTCCCTGGCTCCATCAGCCGGTGGGGCCAGGACCCCGATCTCTGTGCTTTTAAAAAGACCCGACACTCACACCACAATTCCCCACCACGACTTGCCTGAGACTCAGGCCAATCTCCTTGTGCCCTCTCTGCCTGTTATATTACATGGGCCTCCCAGGAGGCCCTAGCTCTGGACTCTCATCTCCCTAGTAGTGCGACTTTATCAGTGAGGTCTCCCCTGGCCCCCATGGACAACTGCTGTCCCCATTTGCTGGAGTGCCTTAGTCCTCTTTGCATAACTTTTTTTTTTTTTTTAATAGAGGCATGTTTTTTATTTATTTATTTATTTGTTTGTTTGTTTGTTTATACATGCACTGGGTACAGTCAGAAGTGCGGGAGGGTGAGAGAATTCACCAGAGGCAGAGCGGGGAGCAGAGCAGGCAGAAGGACCGAAGTACACTGCTGAGGGGAGCAGCGGGTGGCAGGAGAGGTCTGCGCGCCATGTGGGACCCTCCTCTGGTGGCCAGGGAGCAGCCGGGGATCGAACCTGCGTCGCAGAGGGCGCGGGCAGCTTCGCAACCCAGCGCTCAACCGCTGCGCCACCGGGGAGGCCCACTCTTTGCATAACTTTTAATTCACTGACATACCCTGTTTCTTCCTATCGCTTATTTAGTATCTGTTTCCTGACGTGAGCTCCATAAGCACAGGGGTTTTGTTTGTTTTGTTCATGACTAAATCCCTCAGGGTCTAGACCAGCGCTGACATATTTTAAGCACTAAATTTATATTGGCTGAGTGAATTTAGTGAAAAAGAGCAAAATGAGCCACGAGTTTAGCACCCCTGGGGAGGCTTTCCCTCGACTCCCAGTGGACTCCCCAGGTGGAATCCTCCAGAGAATTCAGGGACGTACAAAAAACAGTGACTCCTCCCCTTCTCCACCAACACACCCCCCCAACACTTACACCAACATACACATGCCAACATATGCACCCCAACATACACCCTTATGCACTCCAACATACACCAACACATACACTGGCACACACACACACACCCCCCAACACATACACCGGCACACACATACACAATCAGTTTAAGCCCCAGAATAACAAGCAATCTAGAGTCTTGGCAGAAAAGGGTCAAAAAAATCATCAGATCTAAGCCTTTCGCCTTTGTGCAGAAGAGGGAACGAAAGCCCAGAGATGTGAAGTCACTTGCTTAGAGTTACACAGCCAGTAAGTGACAGAACAGAACCGGGTTCCCTGCTCACAGGCTAGAATTCCAGCAGCTCCAGGCAAAGCATCACATTCCCTTCCAGCACAAGGAGACAAAGGCCTTCCTGACCATGGGATGGGACTTCCCCCAAAGTTGTGGTGAATATATCAGTAAACCAATGTACCCAGGCTCTCGGTATCTGGAGGGCTCTGGAAGGCTGTGGAAAAATCTGCCTGTGAGGGTGTCTGCTCTCAGCGGGATGCTAAAAAGAGGCTACTTCAGGAGGTCAAGGGCCACGCCACCTCCTGGTCCCTGTGGCGTCCTGTCCTTCCCAGAAGTTTGCAGAGCGGGGGAGGGGCCGGAACTCTGCACTGGGATGGCCCGTGTGGCAGTTACTGGCTGTAAGCTGGGGAGGTCCTGCTGTGTGAGAACGAGGCAAACCTCTCGTGATGGAGCAACGTCTGTCACCTAGCCGGCTCATCTCCTCAGCAGCACTGACCCCACCTCGCGCTGCGCGGCTGTGACCGTGGAGAAGCCACGATGTCCCACACCGAGGGGCTCTGCATTGACACAGGGAGGCAGGAGGTGTCTCATCCCAAACCCAGGAACTTTTATAATGTATGTGACTCTGCAGAGTGACCAGGAAGCGAGGACACCAGGTAACAGGGCAAGGATATCAGTCACTGAAAAGTGAGTTTGTGTGTGTGTGTGTAACTATATGTATGTACATATGACTTGCACTGAAACAGATTTAGGGAGATTTAATTCATTACATTATCATGCTTGCAATGTCCAAGTGCTTTTCACAACCCATTATGCTGCCTATCTTTAAAATGTGCCCGTGAGATCTGCAGGTCAAGGCTTGATTGTGTGTGACTATGGATAAGGAAAGATTAGGAGAAATGTCTCCATAGAGTAAGGCAGAGCCAGGACCACACCACCTGATTATAAATGCTCAGGTGGGGTCACGAGTGTAAGGGAGGGAAGGAAGTGTCAGCCTGGCCAGGGCCAACCTCAGGAGTTAGGGGTGGTAAGGGTGGGTTTCACAACTAGTAAGGAGAGGCTGGAGTCCACCCTGACAATCCTGACATCCTCCCCGGATGATGAGGATGGTGGGGGTGCAGGTAGAGCCATACCCCCAAGGCGCTCTGCGGTGTTGACCTGTCTAATCCTCACAACGGCCTTGGAGGAGGCACTGATGTCAATGAAGAAATGACAGAGGGCTGAGGCTCACTGCTCAGGCACCCCACTACTGTTGGGAACTGATGGAGCAGGATTCGGATAGTGGGGTGCTGTGCAAATAAGCATACTCCTATTTCCCCAGGACTGGGGACCAATCCAGCTGACAGCTGCGCCCACATGTCTAGAGGAAGTTCTGCTCCACCAAGGTTACTCCTGCCTGGTTTTGAGTCTCCCAAGCCCCCGGGGTGGGCTGAGATTTTGTCCTGGCAGTGAATGCTCAGTTCTCTTCCTTGTTTTCCTCTCGTGCGCTGGGCTGGCATCATGACGGCCTCTCCTGATCAGCCCCTGGTCTTCCTCCGGGGCAGCTTCTAGCTCTTGCCTTAAAGTAGTGACCCTGGGCGGGAAGGCCCACACGGCCAGGCTGGTGCTCCCGGGTGCAGCGCAACCCTCCCGTACCGGTGGGTTCATTACCAGTTCCAGCAGCTGCGTTGGCGTCTTCTTCGCCGGTGTCGGTAGTTGGTAGCTGGTGTTCGTCGTCGCTCGCAGACCTCGGCCACTCCGCTCCTCCGTCCTCCGCGCCACGCCCCCCGTGCCACGCCACGCCCCCGCGCCACGCCACACCCTAAGTGCCACGCCCTCCGCACCACGCCACGCCCGCTGCACACGCCACGCCCTCCGTGCCACACCACGCCCTCAGCACCATGCCACGCCCTCTGTACCACGCCACGCCCCCATACCATGCCACGCCCCGTGTCACGCCCCCTGTGCCACGCCACGCCCCCGTGCCACGCCACGCCCTAAGTGCCTCTGCACACATGCCACGCCCCGCCCTCTGCACACGCCCCGTCCTCTGCGCCACACCACGCCCTCAGCACCATGCCACGCCCTCTGTACCATGACACGCCCCCGTGCCATGCCACACCCCCTTACCACACCCCCGTGCCACGCCACGCCCCCCGTGCCACGCCAAACCCTCCAAGCCACACCACGCCCTCGGCACCATGCTACGCCCTCTGTACCACACCACGCCCTCTGTGCCACGCCAACCCTCCGCGCCACGCCCTCCGCGCCCCGCCCTCCGTGCCCAACCCCCCACGCCCCGCCCCCGCGACCCACCATACCACGCCCCCTGCGCCACACCGCGCCCTCTGTGCCTCGCCACCCCCCCACGCCACACCACGCCCTCCACGCCATGCCCCCACGCCACGCCACGCCCTCCACACCATGCCCCCACGCCACGCCACGCCCTCCACGCCATGCCCCCATGCCACGCCACGCCCTCCACGCCATGCCCCCACGCCACGCCACGCCATGTCACGCCGCTTGGCTGAGTGCGCGTGCGCGGTGGGAGTGCGGCCCGCCTGAAGCTTTCCCCTTACCCCACACCCGGCAGCTGCACCACGTCAGCCTCGAGGCGCTCGTCCTTTCTGCCCCTCCCGCGCGTCCTCGCCCCACCCCGCAGCCAGCGGGCCCAGGCGGGTCCCTCGGTGGGGCAGCGCGGGAACGTGCGCTCCCCTCCCTCCTCGCGCGCCCGCCGCGCACCTCCACGGACAGCACTCGGCCCGGAAGGCCCGTCCCCGGCAGGGCCCGCTGCCCCGCGCTCGCCTCGCCCTCCCGGCGTGCGCGCGGCCGCGTGTCACCAGCTGACGTTCTGAGGCGAGGCAGTGGCGAGAGGGGGGCAACTGGGGCGCCTGAGCCACGTGCCGCTCGTGGGCCCCGGTACCCCAGGACTGTGGTGACGCTGCAGAAGGCCGGGGCCTTCCTCGTCTCCACAACGCCTTCGCTTGCACTGCGTCATCCTTTCCTGCTTTCAAGCCTCGTGTGATGAACCTCCCGCCCTCCGGGGCGCTGCTGCGGCCCGGGCCAGCTCTGGAGGAGGCCGGGGGCCGGGCCGGCCCCGAGCTCCGGCTGGAGGTTGGGAGCAGCACAGTTTTCGGGGCGCTGAGCGGACGCCGCGTGCAGGGGCTGGGGAGCCCGGGCCAACCTCCTGTCGAGGACGCTCCCCATCTCTGTTTTAAATCGACTTTATGTTTTTGTCTACTAGATTAGACACCCTGACTGCAGCGTGTAATTTAATACGGGTCTTGGAAAATCAGGGTTATTAACTCGGTTCCAGGCGTCCTCAGAGCATCCTTGCCCCTTTGGGGTGGAGGGCACTGACAGGTTCTCTGAGATTTTCCTGATTCAAGAAGAGTCCAAGGAAGGGTGGAGGAACTTGGAGGAACGTGTGAGCAGAGACTTTCTTAGATTCCAAGATGCTGCCTGTGAGAAAAATAATGGGGAGGAGGATGATTTGAGGTTAATAATGATGGCAGTGATGACCCAGATGACGAGGAAGAGACATTAGCTGATGTTTACTGAATGCTTACTCTTGCCTGGCACTGTGCTAGAACCTACATAAGCAACAGCGTACTCAACCTCGCAGTAACCCCATGGGATGGGTCCCGCTGTCAGTGCAATTTTGCAGATGAGCAAACAAGCCCGGAGACTTCGGGAACTTGTGTGAGGTCGCACAGCAGGTAAGTGGTGGAACTGAGCCGCAGATGCAGGAAGCCTGCTCCAAAGCCCAACCCTGAAGGAAAGCCTTTTTATTGCCTTTTTAGTCCCTGGTGGCTTCTGGTGCATTCCAGGTCTTTAATAGAGATAATGGACTCAACTCTATCTCCCAAAAGTTAAGATGCTATTGCCCAATTAAAGAGGCATCGTGTCCAGGCAATAACTGTCCACACAACACACATGGGACACAGCCAGTATTTGTGACTGGGGAGTGGAGACTATGGAAAGGAGTGGAAGGAGAGGAAACTGGAAGGTAGATTGGGTAAGATAAGGAGATCTTGTTGTCACTGTTTCCTGGAGGCAATAAGTCATCCTGAAAGACTCTTGAGCAGATAAATGCTCATATTGAATTTGTATTTGGGAAGTGTCTGCAGTGACATGGCCTGGATGGGATGACCCTATCCATATTCCTCCTAGCCATTGCATCCCAAAGGGTCTCGCTTCCTCTCACTTAAGGAGTCTGTGTCTGCCTGTGAGGTTGGAAGCGATGAAGAGCGTCTTGATTTTGCACATGGGGAAGTTGAAGCCCATAGGTTCCATGTCACATTAGCTTGAGGGAGTGAGGGAATGTGTCCATGCAACCAGCAGTTTGGTAAATATTTAACAGCCAGTCTTTGATGGGGGAGAAAGCTCATTTGGAGAATTTGCAAATTCCCTTAATATATAGGTCGACTGTGGCAGATTTCAGGCTACCAACGTGACATCAGCTGAGTTGCAGGACTCTTGAAAATTTAACCATTGGCTCCTGAACGCCAGCCCATGTCATCTCCCCCATGCCTCTGAGCAAAGACTGCATCCTGCAGCCTGTGTTGAAGCAGATGCTGAGGGCGCTCCAACCTATGTTGGTAAGAGAGGCCAGGCCACAGCTGACAACTGGGGGACTCAGGAACAGAGTGAGGGGCAGAAAGTGGCATCTTGGCCCCAGACCATGTGTCTGTGCAGACTGCTTAGGAGAACAAACATCTCTACCTGGATCCCTTACAAAAGAGATTTTGTAATCCATGGTAGTAAAATTTTCCTCTGGCTTCTAAGACATGTGTGACAACCTATCAGAACTAAAAAAATAATGACATGGGGTATTTTTTAAAAAAGATTTATTTATGCATACAAGAACTGGGTTGTAGGTCAGAGCTGCTGGGGGGTGAGAGGCTTCACCAGAAACAAAGTGGGGAGCAGAACAGGCAGATCCACTGAAATACACTGCTGAGGGGAGCAGTGGGCAAGAGAGGTGAAGTCTGCTGTGCCATCTGGGTTAGCTCCCTGGCCGGGGATTAAACTCATGCTGCAGTGGCTGGTGATAGCTTGATAGCGCTGTGTCTTTAACCCCTGCACCACCAGGGAGGCCCAGACATGGAGTGTTTTTAATAATGTGTATGGATGAAATCTGAGGATTCAGGTCCAGCAAGTCTGCTAGAAGATCTGCCACAAGTGTTCACTTTCCATAGAGCTCACATTGTCCTATCACTTATGCGATCATCCATTCATTCATCTGCCATAAATTGGGAGTTGAAGCATAGAGATTATGGGCAATAGAAGAGAAGGGTCACCATTTAGGTAATGACAAGAGGGAGCATAGGTCAGAGGCAGGAGCAGGCAGGGGACCACGTGACCTGGAGGCAGGATGAAAGTCTAGAAGTAAACTGTGCCTGGAGTTTTGAGAACCTGGGGCTTAGGTGCTTAGGACCAGCAGGTAGGAAGGAGGTGCCTGCCATGAGAACATGGCTCACAGCAGACTGACCCTGAAGCAAGATAGTGACGAAGCCAATGGGTTTGTACCCACTTCTAATGGGGACAGGAGATGATGCCAGCTAGGACAAAGCACAAAGATGGTCGGGGAAAGGAATCCTGAGATTTATCAGGCGCTGGATGAGGTTTGTCACATATATTTTTTCAAGTGCCAGTAAGAAGAAGCCTTTGTGAGTTAAATGATACTAGTTTATTGTTTGTTTGAGAAAACAGATTCTCAGAGAGGTTAACTCACTTGCCCAAGGCCACACAGCTGGTAGGCGGCAGAACCAGAGGGATGTGAGGGTAGCAGCTGAAAACAGATTCAGAAAAATTGGCAGGCAGTTGGAATTTGATAGAAATGGAATCAGTGGGTGTCTCCCTGCATTAGGGGGTATTGTGCCAGCTGATGGCCTGGGTGACTGAGTAAAAGGCCTGGGGGAGTGGATGGTATTTCTGGCCTCTCTGCCAGGAGAAGCAAGGTGCTCATGGCCTGCCGCTGCTCCTCACTGCAGGAAGTGCGCCGAATGTTTACACAAGGGCACATTTCTGGCACACTGAGAAGGGCCAATTGTAAACGGAGATCATACCCCCAGCTTGGCAGATGCCTGAGAGTGAGGCGCTCCCTGACATGCTGATGGAGAACAGGGACTTCTTGTTTACCCAGCTCACCATCTGGACGAGGGAAGCAATGTCCAAGTAAATTGCTGTAACTAAGAGCTCAGAGGCTGCCTCTCTGGATCCCCCACGGCTGCTCTGAAGGACTCGCGCTGCTCGGATCCCATGTGGATGCTGGGGGAGGGCAGGCAGACACAGGACGGCATTGGGACAGAGCTGTGGGGCCTGGGGACTGGGGGGTGATGAGGGCATGTGTTTGGAGGTGAAAGGCTGAGTGGCATTCTCCATGAGATTACTTAAGAGTGAAAGGGCTTTTTTTTCCTGGGTACAGTCAGAAGCGTGGGAGGGTGAGAGAATTCACCAGAGCCAGAGTGGGGAACAGAACAGGCAGACTGACGCAATACACCACTGAGGGGAGCAGTGGGCGACAGGATAGGTCTGTCGTGCCATGCGGGACCCTCACCGGCGGCTGGGGATGGAACCGGTGCTGCAGAGGCTGCGGGCAGCTTTGCAACCCAGCGCTCAACCGCTGTGCCACCAGGGGAGGCCCAGGACAGAATGATTTGGAGGCATGTCTTTGGGATTTGCTCACATGTGTAT